CATCAACACATTGGCTCAACATCCGACCTTCTTTGGTCACTCTACCTTTCATGTTTGCAGTTACAATGATTGTTATTTATTAATATGTTAGATTGTAAGGTCATCCTTGAATTTTGTTCCAACCCATTTGATGTCCCATGGCCTGTTCCACGTATTTTGCGAGGACAGCTCCACCAGCCCAACGAGGCGGTGCGAGGACAGGGTGTCACTACACTGAATTACTCAGCCACTCAAGTCTGTGGTTTCTCCCCTTTTTTTAGAAAAGAAACCTTAGATGTTTTGTTCTGAGAAGATTTGAAATCATTGTAATATGTTCACTGCCATGCACTTTGTTCTTGGGAAATCCATCTCATCCACAATAGCTTTTGGCCTCACACCCAATGGCCCAATGAGGAGAATTAGGCTCTAGGCTCTCGTCCACATCTTGGGCTTTGGAGCAGCTTTTGGCTTAAAGTTCAAGTTCAATGCACTTCTTACTTCTTACGAACCAAAATCTGCTTCTCTCCATGTTCGAGCCTTTTCCAGCAAAGACATTTTCTATGGAGGTGGGCAAGCTGTCACCAGACAATACATGAACGGAGACAAGACCGACAAACGACAACTAGCGAACTGGCGATAAAGTTGTAAGCAAAGCTCCTGGAGATAAGTGCAGCCGCGCTTCAGTAGCTAGGTTCGGAACTCAGAATGATTCTTGGTCAGCATTTGACCGCGTTGTATTGGTTCGAGACCACTTTGCACAAGGCGAGACATAAAGTTTAATCAAGCTTAAGCTTGCCACATCAGCCCACCCACATTGGTCTATTAGTCCATGATCGCCTATGTTATAGTCATTGAGTCATAGCCTTTTTTGTCTCCTCATGTCTCCCTTGATTTCGGTCAGCCACCGTTGCCATGTGGCCATCTTAGGAGTCCGATCTTCCTTGGGCTATTGCTTACCCACGCGCTGGCCACCTCCGACGGCTTCTTTCAGCACAACTGCTTTAAGCGGCTGAAGGACACCGTGGGACGTTTTGGGTCTTCAAAGCTGGGAGACGACGGAGCAAGAGGCTACGAACGGGGCTCCTGGCCTTACTACTAGGAACAATGTTCGCTACTAGGGGGGCTCCTGGCATCGCTACTAGGAGTAAGGACGCTACTAGTAGCAAGAGTTTTACAGTGTTACAGGAGAGGTAGGCTGCTAGGCCCTGCCCTGCCGCAATTCTCACCTCACTTGGAAGCTGAGCCCGCCGCACTGCGATGTTAGATGCTTGAGTCATGAGTCATGAGGAGCCTTTGACAGATGCCCCATTCAACAAAGACGAGATCCTTAGGCTGTCATCCTGGGACGTTGTTGACATGTGGACACTTGGGCCAGGGTCCACAGTAATTGGTCATGTGAAGACTGTGCAAGAAGCTAGCTGATTTGCATATCCAACCTTGGTGATCCTTGGTGCTCGTTTTGGGAATGCGATGCTTGCATGTTGATTTTCATCCACACCAGCAGTTTGCCTTGCATCCTAATTTTAAAGCAGCCTGCTTGAGCACAATTGCTGCAGAGGCTAACACAGCACTTTTGGGAGAACTTCGATGTGAATGGCAACTTGGATTGGGTATTGGCACGATTAAGGCAAGAAGGTGCAGGTGACAAGATGCCGAAAGGTGCGGATTATGCCTATATACAGCTTTTATAAGAACGAGTCTGGTATAGGCAGATGTTCAATATGGTGACTCGGCAACATTTGAGACCACGTCATGTTCTTTTTCTTTTGGCGAGCTGCACGCTGAAAAAGACCTCACATCATCCAGCGCAACTGCACGTCACCTCACCACACATCACAGAATACCCACCACACCAGTACACTTTCGCCACACCAGTAGGTCACTGCACTCAACAGGTCAAGCTGCAAGGCCCAGGATCACTGAACCAAAATGGCATCGGCTTATCTCATGTTCTATGTCATTGAGATAATCTCCAATGTTCTAGTCTTTCAAGCAACCAAACGGCCACAGGAACTGGTGCCATCATTGCCTCACCTGGAACTACACCAGCTTTGCCTTCAGGATGTGTTGGAGGATACAAATACCACTGGACGCTTGGCATAGCAAAAGATGACCATGAACATGCTATATATATATAATATCATTATATGGCAATCTTGCATGTGCTGGCTCAGTTGGGAGCTAAACATTAACCACATGTTCCGTTTTCCTTGATTATTTTAGCCTAGCCCACCACCTTACATTGTCATGGAATCTAAACCGTGCAAGGATACGAGACGGAGCACTGAGTATGTCAGCTCTACTGTACCCCGGCTGCAAGTCCTTGCTATTTGTTGCTTTAAAGCGCCACCGCGGATACCTGACCTGCACGCAAAATCCTTTGCATCATACTGGCACGCTCGGCAATACATATGGGGCGTTTACTGTTTATCGTAATTGTTGCATACGGCACAGAACCAGCGGAGTTGACATGGAAAACACAAGAACGGTGCTTGCAAAAATGCTTGCAAACACACGCGAACATTGCAAGCAATCATCCCCAGAGGCACACTGGAGAAGCTTTTGAGCTGCCAGATTGGCAAGTGGAGGAGACCTTCATGCAATATGTGGCCTGGGACACTTGGCAAAAAGAGTGTTTCGACCATCCTCCAGCGGCTGATTGCACACCGACGACTGCGAAGATTCTATTTATACACATATCCTCGTAATATCCCTGCTACCTTGTGCTAAGTGTTGTTCCTTTGTAGGGCTGGCTGTCCGCAGTATATAATTAATTAGCAGATCAAGTCATAGTGACAGTCATAATGATCTAGATATGGAGTACGGTAACGCATGTGGTACTGGTACCGCTGGTACATCCGTTTGGGTTTGTTGGGCCGAGCCCACAGGTGCAAACAGTCCACACCCGAGCTGCAACCACCGTTGATGAGCCCAAGTGGAACATTGCCAAGGAGGGATGAATGACAGACCGAACCTTGATGATTGCGCTTGTTCTTTTTTTAATGCACCGCACGCATAGTTTTACTCTGTTTTTTTGGTTATTTGGAATATGAACTGATTGGCTAATTGATAAGTTGTGTAATCAAGAAAGTGAGTGCGGAGTATCAACATCAATTGAGGGTAGAGATCAAAATCAATTGCCCATTTGAGGGGAAGGCTTGATGGTCATCATCGTGATCAGAAAAACTGTAGAGGATCACGGATGTGTTAGCGCACAGAAGACCATAAATTGATATAAATACACTGGGGTGCCAAAAGTTGCGCTTCTTGACTTCTAAAACATCACAAACCCTTTCCCCTTATCAGATTTCCACACCTGAAAGCCTTATAAATATTACAAATTTAAAAGGGTGTGGAAATCTGACCGTGCTGTACCTGCCACGCAAAATGGACGTGTTAATCCGATCCGCTGTAGACCGCAAGTGTCATGTTGGAACAGAGTAAGAAGCGTAAACTTTAGGGTTCTTGAAGTATATATATTATATAAGAAGTTCTGATTCCAGTGATTGCGGGTTGAGGCTCATGTAGGGCTTTTCCACTCCTCGTGCCACAGGCAGCTCCCTATGCCTTCGGCTGGTGTCGCCCGCAGACTGATGGTCCTCCACTGCGGGCCAGGACTCTTTTGCAGGCAGCTAGGCGCTGGAGGAGACATCGACGAACCTTGGCAAGTAGCAGCTACGACATGCAAGCAGCAAGATGGTGTGTGACCCAAAAACGACCTTTCACCCATGCCACATGCCATGATTTTTAAACTTGGTTTGAATTTGATTGACTTTGGTGCTCAAAGTTGCAAGTGCAGGCACACCAAGACCTTGAATCACAAATGTGTTTTGCTGTATTTGTTCAGTGCTGGTTGATGTCTTAAAGCTCGAAAAAGTGTTTGGCAAATTAGTTTTGCCCCACGCTCCTATAACATCTTATATTACATAACTAATTACCAAAGCCAAGCTATCATTGCAGTTTTCGACAAGAAAGTTGAGCGCTGGCGGGGGACTTTCGCTGCCCTACAGCTAGTCTTTGCATACTGCTTTTTGGGGCCGTGTTTATGTTTCATGGATGCACTTGTTTGTCTCAGCTTTCTTGGCTTGGATTAGCAAGGCAAGCTGTGGCAGCTGGCGAAGAAAGACTTGGATTGGCTCATCGCGAGCCTATTCTTGCAAGTTCTGATTCGATTGGTGCTCAAAATGACTTGTGTTGGTAGGCTTCGTTCCTCATGACTCAATCAAAGGCTTTGTGCATATCCACGTCAGCTCCAAGGAATTCAAGTGATGGCACAATGAATATGAATAAGGTATCATGCGATGTTTGGGCCTCTTGGCTGTCAAGAGCTTGCTGGTGGGTTTGCTCGCTCGAGCTCTCGGTCTTTGGAGTCCTTGACCACGATCAAGACAAAATAATCCATTTGCTGGGCTTCAGCTGGATGAACTCGTATGTCGAATGTGTTTGACAATGTCTCAGTATTTCCGTCTTGGAAGCCGTTTCTCGCATGATTGCGCAGGCGGCCGAATCATAATCCTACTTGTTTACCAAATGAATCCCATTCTTTGGGAAGAAATTCATTTGCGCTTGGTTGTTGGTAATTCATTCTCTAGTTGATTGGTCACAAATCCATTCAACATTATTCATCCAGACCGACTTCACGCCTTGCCGTGTGCAGTAGGATGGGTTTCCAACAACCCCCAGGACCTGGCAAGGCAGCAAGAGCTTGCAACATCTGAGGAAGAGACTACGAGCGATGATTTCTTCTGGAACAAGGCATGGTTTGGAAACATCAAGATTGTGTTGAACAGATTACCTTTCATTTTCTTGAGCAAAGTTGTCGCGGATGGCAAAGGATGTGGTAATTACCACATTTCACGCAGTATTGTCAATCAATCTTTGCATTTTGTGAGATTTGCAGGAATGAGATATATAAGACGTATTGAGCATCTATCTATCTATCTATCTATCTATATTAAATACATATATATATATATATCTATATATTTCATACTTGATGCCTGGGTGTTCATTTGCAGGCAATGATGCAAGCAGCATTGCTGGAAGGCATCCTTTTCAGCTCAGAGGCTCTCCCGCTGGTTCCCACGTGAAGTTCTGAGGTAGACAGCCGCCTGCACTTTTGCTAGGGATGAAAGCAAGATACTTGTACCATGTCCAGCCGGTGTCAAGTGTGCATACACTCCAACAGTCCCGACTCATAGTTTCAGTGAGAAAGGCTCATGACTCATGCAATAATATATTGCCACTTCGGAAGAGGAGCATTGGGAGCACGAATCAAGCACTTCTGAGATGGGTCGGTGCATTTTCAGCTCAGAGGCTCTCCCGCTGGTTCCCTCATGGTGTTTGAAAGAGACTTCCTGTGCATAACACCATGATTGCACAGGGTAGTGGCCGGAATAGGAATGATGCCATTCGCAGGTGGGCGACACAGAACGAGTGCAGTCCTACTCGAATGCTTTGCAGGCCTTAGGCAATACGCGCCCGTGGCTGGAGGGTCGGGGAGGAGGGTCGACAGGTCGTGAGGAGCATCCACCGGACCCCAAGAAGCGGACGGGTCCATTCACCTTCCCCCTAGTAGCGTCCTTGTTCCTAGTAGCGATGCCCTTTGCTCCTAGTAGCTTCTTGCTCCTAGTAGCGATGCCAGGAGCCCCTAGTAGCTCCACCGACATGTTTCCGCCCACTTCAACGCACCAACTTCCAGGAATTGTTTTTTTGCGGGTCCGCAAGAAGCAATCGCATCCGTTGAAAGAAGGTACCGTACCGCTAGACACAGGTTGGTCCATTCTTGCCCATGTTTGCCCGTTGCAACTTTGTGGTGAGCAGCACCTGAAGTATGGGCAACAATGAGTCATGAGGACAGTAGTCAGTAATCCCATATGCAAACTCAAAGAAAGCAATAGAAAACGAAGAGACAAAGAGGACGAAAAGGCTGGTCCTGGACCAGATGAATGGATCCTACGAGTTTCGACCGAGGCTTGAGACGCATAAAGAATGGTCGCTGATGGGCAGCTTCATCACTGAATGCCCACCTGGATCCGCACACAATTCTTGCGCGGAATATAGGTGGATTGGGCTCAAAGAATTCGCGTCGCTCGGAGAATCCACCTTAACGGTCCCTTTTTAAATAGGTGCTTGCTACAGTGAGCAGCATTTCTGCAGCTTTGGTGACAATCCTAAAAGCAAGCAAATATGTATAATATAATACATAATTACTGGATTCTGATACATCCATCCTCGTACCCAAGTCCTGGAGTCGGAGTGTGCCATCAGGATGAGCCTTGAAGTTGATCCGTGACGCAGCGAATCCTTGGAATTCTTGGAATATTGCTCCCCATTCATAGCTTCCCCTGAAGGAAACGCATCGATGGTGCCGTGATCCTGGGGCTGGTGCATGGGAGGACCCGGATCGCTTGTGCTGGTGTCCATTGTAGTGTCAAGCGAAGGGACCTCTGGAGCACTGTCATGCAGAGGCTGCAGAGGTGCTTGTGTTGGGGTGCGTAGCAATTTGCGAGTGATCATGAATTGTTTTGTCCATAGGGTTCAAGCACTCGGTAGACATTCAAACATTCGGAGAGACCAGTGGCACTCTCAAGATGCACTCCTTCCGTTGTCCACCAGCCTCTATGATGGTATTGATGTCTAGTCTAGTCATGCACATGTTGCATGGAGCACATATTAATATATAATAATATATATATATATGTGTGTGTGTCACCCTAACCTCCTTTTTGAGCACCTGCATACCTCCATCGTGCACACCTCGCTTCATCAAAAGAGGTTTGGTTTGGCCGCCTGCAGCAATTGGCCAGATCATACCTCCTTTCATCCAAGCATGCGGGCGCATGCTCCGTTTGCTTAGTGAATGAGTTGCGGGACTGCAACATGCTGAGCTGTTTTGCAGGTCAGCTAGGACCTAAAACGAGAACACCCTCCCTGCCGGTCTGGGCTTGTTAGCCCGCCTCGTGTTTTGTATATATATTTTTTGGATCTGACCACTGTCCATCCCCTAAGTGATCTTTGACCAGAGCTGCGTCAGGCTTGGCAGCTTATAGAAACACCCGTCACTGTAGAGAGCATGTCTCTCTTGCCACCCATTTTATAAGCATTTCTCCTTACTGTAAACTGTCCGGCAAAATTTTCCTACCATCATTCACGGGGTCTTTTCTAGATTCATCAGCTTGTCAACGATGGGTCTTTCGAAAAGTTATTCCTACGTGGATGCTCTGGGGACAACCTTGGTGGTGGACAACGGAAGGAGTGCACTCGATATTTGTCGGATGCAGTTGTGATTGTATTGCAGGAATGTCACCAGTTAGTCAAGGTTCAGGCACGCAAACTGTACCTGAGCCACTGTTTAAAGAGTGGAAAGTAACTGCATCTTTCGCCCATTGATTGATACTTGAACTCGGTGTCTCTTGTTAGGACAATGGTGCCGACCAATGCGTCGTAGCTTGGTCAAGAAGTTCAATAAGCAGCCATTGCCAAACGATTCTGACAGGACGGACCATGTGTCTAGAACAGTTTGACGTGCAAGTTGGTACGTCGGTACGTTGCACTATATGTAAGTTTGGTGTAGTGTTTGGTGCGCAAATAACATGAATTTGTGATTGAACAACCACCTCCTGATTTGATGACAATCTGGCATGATCGTGGGAAAATAAAAGCGATGTCATCAAGACGCCAATAGGCAAAGAAGGCCCGAACAGTTGAGGCTTTCATCTGCTCCTTTACCCACAGATGTGCTTGTGGCGAAACTTAGCTGAAACGTTTATGAAAAACCAGCTGACGCAATCAATATTGTCATGCTACTGCCATTATTAAAACGCTCTTGATAAGGACGTTGGCATTCAAAACTGATGCGCGATACTTCTGATCCTCTCCAAGGAACACCATCAGGGCCTACAACAAGGAATTTTGTTCCCTCTACGTAGCCCGGCACAGCATTGAGGGGAGATGCCAATAGAGAAATCTTTTTGCAGTACTGCTAACAGGCCATGGTGGGCATTCGTCCCCCTTCGTTGCCCCTTCATGACATGTGCGTTTGCTGCGGCATGAGTGCATCCCCGCATGTGGTTTAGACCCATATCTCCGGTTGCCTGTGGCGCCTTAGGCGCTGAACCAAGAAGAGTCAGGGAATGGTCGGCCCGGCATCCTCTACGGGCGCTACGCCGCTGACAAGTATGGCGGAGAGGTGACCCACACAAGTATAGCGGAGGGGTGCCTGAACCACCTTGTTCACATCAGTTTGTCCAATCAAGTCTTTAGCTCACATTCTTTTGTCGAGTAAACGGGATACGGTATATGAGTTGGAACAGAGCATGGATGAAGTTGATCAGGGGCTGCTGGTTTTGTTGTTTGTCATGTTCCGCAGTCAAAACTTGCCCTATACAGAACATGTTTCAGCAAGAAAAGTAGACATGTCAGGGGGTGTTGTTATTGAATATTTAAGTTATTTAATATACTTGAACAATTGTCTTTTCTTATGGAACAACATCAATTAAACATAGCATTAAGAAAGAACAACCATGAATTAAAAGGTTCAACAATAATATTAACAACATATCTCAAGATTGTAGACATGTTTTCTATCGAAATGGACATGTTTGCAGACATTAATCTGGGTACTATTGTTAGTTCACATTACACATTATGATTCACTCCTCGTTCATTTGCATTCCTTGCAAGCAGGACGGAGGCAATCCGTGGGTCTTGATCACTGCTGCATTGGCAAACCTTCTTTATCAGGCGTGGCATTCTGTCCAGACACACTGGAAGCCTCAGTTCTGCAACAATCGGTCTGTCTACCTTTGTCAGTAATTTCCACCGTCACTGTTTGGTGTTCAAGGTCCATTGACCAAAGCAGACTTGAGGGCGCCTTTACTGTTCTGGGAAGCGTGAATTTTTTTTTGCGGCCCAGGCTGCCTCGCAGGTCTCCCACACTGCGCTGAATCTTGAGGACTGACTTGGATTACCGGCGCACTTGAACACGCGAACAACTGAACTTCATTGGAGATTGGTGACTGATGTGACTTCAACAGTTATATTACAATATGTACTGAGTCTATGTGTATACATATATATTACTATGTTGGTCAGAAGTATGATAGGATGAAAACGATCGTTTGTTCTGACGATCGTTTGTTCTGAACAAACGACAGGAGCGTGCAGCCTGGAAGGCCATGCTTGGCGTTTTTGTTTGTTTGCTTTGCGCGAGTGTCATTGACATTTAGGGGGACCTACGGTATTATTGATTGAATCTGAGACAAGTCCATGTTGTTCTTGGACAAGTGTGGACACTTGCTTGCTTGCTTGCTTGACTGGAATCAAGAAGATCCAGTGTCAGAAAAGTGTTGGAGAACCTTGTTCCAGATTGCGCTGAATGACGTGGGCTTCTCCGGAGAAGCTAATGACTTCATCGCAGCAGGCCAAGCAGAGCGTTGTCCAACTGACCTTTCAATGACGTTTTTTGGCACAATCTCCTCCATTCTGGCAACTGTTTTATCCACCATGCTTGAGGCATCTTGACGCCTTTTTTTCCGTATCATTTGTATTGAACAACCCTTAAATAATGCCCTTTGGTGGCTATGAGGAGACTCTGTCCTTGTGCGACTTCGAGAACACATTTCTGCCGAGGACTCATGTTTGGACGAAAACAACTCATGTAGAATGCGCCGAGAATAATTAGTAACTAGTATGTATTACTAGGATTTACTAGATACTCTAAACTGCCGTGAAAAACTGAAAGGTTTTGCTGGACAAACCCATTGTGATGGGCCGGCCTGGCCGGTTGCTTTAGAATGGGGAAGGCCGACACTGACAAACCCGAACAGGCTTAGGTATATGCGGCCCCCAGATTTTATCCATTACTCAATATCACTCATGCACTGATCTCAATCCTTTTGAATGTCTCTTGGCCTTACCAAGATCCATGCTTTCTCTGATAAGTTCCTCACTCGGACAACGGGCGCTCGGACAACGGACCTTTTTCTGATAGAAACGGTAAGAAGTCATAAGGAGTCTTTGGATTGAACTGACAGGCTTAATGGTGTATTCAAAGAATGATGTCGTCCTGTCAAGTTCACTGCAATTGGTTAAAGCGCTGCACAGAGTTCCCTGCAATTGTTCACTTTTTTTTGAATTGAGCCCTGCACAGAGTTCTTCAACCCTTTAAACTTCAAGAACTGACGGCGCTTGAGCCAGTTAGCCATGACATGCAGAGGCACATACCGCGGCGTTCACAAGTTCCCACATTCACCCAACACCACTCCTTGTGGCCTCTTCATTTGTACAGCTTTTAATCTTGGTTTAGTGCTTAGGACTCCTCTTCGTGCCACGTGTCATTATTGTGTACACTAGCATCATTTTCCTTCGTTCGGTGGTGCGTTGGAGAATGGGGGGTGCAATAATAGGGAGCAACTGTTGGTGCAGGGTACGTTTGGAAAGGTGTGCAGGGGGGACTGGTCCCTCAAAGCTGCTACTTTCCTGCGAGCACATTTGTTCTTCCACGATGTGACTGTATCCTGAATGTTGGCCAAAGACTCTGTGTTGTCAGTCAAAAGATGTCCCAAGCAGGCCTGAAACTGCAATACTTGCCAACGGTTTAACAAATTCTGCCAGGTGATTGCTGTCATACTTCCAAATGTAGTCGCTTGAACTTCTGTCCCGATGGCACCTTCCGCAGCAAGGCTCTAAGTCGAACCCTGCTCCACAGAGTGAGTCTTGAGGCTGCGCTTGAAAGTCGAAGCCCTTCCATGCATGCAACCTAGACTTTGGCCACGGCAGAGTGCGCTTAACTACCCCTATGTCAATATCTGTGCTTAACTACATCAATGGCCAATGTTACAATGTTGACCACTTTTTGAAGCCTACTGATTGCAAAATAGTCTTGCTGTCCGCGGGGATCCGCCGATAACCGCAGGGAACCGGATTCTACTTGTACCGCTACCTTTTTTTGCTTGTAAACCCGGCCCGCCTTGTCTGCGCACCGCCTCACGCACCACTCCGCGCACCACCTCCACACACCCCAGGGCTCCAAAAGCGCAAAACTAGTTAGGCGCACCAAGCTTGCGTCAACCTAGACTCGACTTGTGGCACCCGCCCTTCACAAGGAGTGGACGTAATCCAAAAGATCAAGTGTGGGCGTGCCAGAGAAAGTTCGGAATAAACTGCGAACAGTTTTCCTAATGCTGCTCATGCAAGCTGACTGCTAAATGCCAAACAAGCCCATTCAAATCAAAGCACCCATGCCACTGAGCATGTTCCGTGTTTGACTGTCTCTGTATTGGCCTGGTATGATCCGTGCAGCTGAAGGGCCACTGCACCCCAAGTCGCCGTCCAACTTCTTTTGACACACCGGCCCACACACACACATGCCTTTCATATATATGTTTCATAAATCTTCAGTGTGACTGAATTCATGCACTTGATTGCACCTGTTTGTGTGTCTTCACACATTCAAAAGCAAGCACAAATGAACACAAATGAGTTATTAGACAAGGCATGACAAAGCACAGTGTAACCCGAACCTATGGTGATGACCCTTCAATGATGCCATATGATCCTTTGTCGGCAGCGACGTGCCCTTCGATCGCCATGCTTGGGAAGCAGCTTTATATAATATCCATTGTAATATCCATAATCAGAATCACGAGGAACCACAGCGCCTCAGGAACAAACACTTTCTGTAACAGTTGTAATTATATACAATGTGATGACTAATGACTAATGATGACTAATGCTATCCAACTTTCCACGGGCCAGTGGTGCTATTGCTTTGACCAGTGGGCCACTTTGTCGCCACAGCTTGCAGGATGACATGCACCTTTTTGAGCAGATCCATCGTGACACTGGGCTTCAGTACAATGCGAAGGACCGATCTCCAAAACGTGGTAGACTTTGAGAATGAAAAGGCAGCTGTTCTAAAACTGAGTGATGAAGGGTGCTGATGGTCATGGTGTTCGTAACTATTTGTTGGTCGTTTCTTGTCCAGTCATTGCAATTGTAGCATATGACACATAATATGACTACCCATTCAACCTGGAAGTGAAGGTATACAGGTAGAACCTTGTTTTGTCAATAATCGCTGTGTTTCATTGGTTCTATATAGATCTATATAGTATGTCTTGAGCCATGCGAGCGAGCCTTGAAAGCGTCAGGATCTGACATGGAGCTACGCAGAGGTTTTGAATGCCTTGGTAGCGCGTAAGATGGCCACGAAAGCATCCTTCAAGATGTTTGTGGTCTAAGCGGCTGACCGGAATCTTGGGCTGGTCATGGGCAGCATGGGCCGTGAACGGCATGTAGCAATTTGGAATGCAGGAGGTCGAGACCGTTCTTCTACCTGTTGTATAGAACTCGCCACCCCTGTGCATTATTTGGAATCATCAAGGGCCACCATTGAATAAGGTGTCACTATTGTTCCGTCTATATGACTCATATGACTTATATCATGGGATGTGCAGGATCTTTGCATTTTGCGAGTCCAGCTACCATTGGTTTCCAGCATCCAAAAGTGCCTGTTGGGAGCATTTGAGAGGGCAACCCCTCAAAGATATAGTTTCCGATGCATTGTCACAGAAGAAAAGACCTTGATGTGAAAACAGCAGTAAGTACAGTGGTTTCAGAGTAGATGGCACAACCCCCAAGAGTTGTTTTTCTTTATATGGCTCCATATCAACCACCTTTTGGGGATTGTGCCATCCACTCTGTAGTTCTTTTGGCACCAACCTTTGGCTCTCAAAGTGACTCACTAAGGAAGTCCAGGAATTTCGCCCTTTGAAGATGGGATTCCTGACACACGAAGGTCGCCCTCGCTCGTCACAGCGTTTGTTGACTGTGATGTTAATGCAAGTCAGAAGGCCCTTCACACGTTATTCCATGACTGGAATGCAACAACACTCCAATCCTTGGATATATATCTTTGTAATTCATTGTATTTGTATTGAAATTTGTGTTTTTGATTGGCGTTCTGGCTAGGCTGGCTTCAGAGAGAGCTAGCTTTGTTTTCCATGGATAGAAGCATCTTTGGTGCTTACTGGACCCATTGGTGAGCCCACATCTCTTCCGTGATCTTACTTTTCGCACATCCAGTCCAGTCCAGTGCCTAGGGGAGGCCCAAAGACACGGAGGGGAGGGGATAATTCTGGCAGACTCCGGTTTTCGATCGCCTCAGATGGCCATCCCGGAAGTAGCTGCCGGTATTTTGCTGTAGACTTTGTGGAAAAAACCGGGCTTGAGAGCCAAGAGAGTGATTGGGAAGGTAATGATGTGGTGGCATTGTCACAGATGTGCCCCATAGCATGTTCTTTGCAAGAGATTGAATCTGTGATGCACAGGATGGGCAGAGGCACGCAGGGGACTGGTTTGAGCAACAATATGTGCGCACCTTCAATTTGGCAGTGACAGTGTGGATAAGAAAGGGCTTCAAAGCCAAGCCATATCAGGATTCAGTGCTGTAGGCAACGGGCATTTGCATGGCTGCCCCGAGAATCCAAGTTTGTGCAGAGTCTAGCGTACTGCATCATGCCAATGTGGGTGACTTTCTACAAAGAAGCCGCCGACAGTATATAATTCATTATAATTCTGCCTTGCAAACATGCTCAGGTGTGTGCAAGTAACTGGTTGCAGGGAAAGCGTTTCAATTGTGCTTCTCAAACACAAGCCAGGCATATGCAAATGCAGCTCCAAGCACGTTTGGGAGGCTGTTGTTCGCAGATGCTCAGTGCACCTTGACCAGTGATGTAAAGCGAAGATACCGACCTGTTTGTCCAGACTCCAGACTGGAGTAGTTGCAAGCCAAAAGCCTAACATTCTTAAATATTGAACTTTCCAGACGGAGGTTGTGTTTGAGCGCAGGTGCTTCTGCAGAAACCATGCCTGCTGATTCTCCCGAGCCACATCGGCATATGTTGCGCTGTATTGTCAGCTGAGATGTTACTACGTCTCATTCTGTTATGCTTTGAATAGAGGGGATGCAAGTTTACCTTGGTCAATGCTATTTTGTGGGAAGGACATGTTTTGCTTCCAAGAGATACTATGAAGACCAACATGTTTCTTCAGTGGAGAACGTGCATTGACGTTGCGGGACGCTTCGGAAAAATATTTGGATTTGCATTGAGGCTCTACACGCCCCCCTCTTGGCCATAACTTTTGTGTGAATGCACTCCTAGTTTAATCGCAATATAGAAGAGCGATAACAAAAAGGAAGGGCCTTGGCCGCAGTTGGAGTCTGCTACAGCCCAATCTCGTGTCAGGTGCTTCACCAGTGGTGTTCCTGCGGAGTCTGTGCCAGGTGTGCCAGCAGGTGGGTCTCATTGTTTGGATTTGCCCATGGCTGACAAATGTATATAGAATATTTTCTAACTGTAGAAACGCTCTAATGTTGGCTGCCTGATTGAATCTGGAGTTTCAACCAGGCAACAGCAGGGTGAGCAAGTTTGGGTCTCTGACGTGACCAGACAACCTTGCCTTTGTCAGTGTGGACCCAATCTCATTGTGCCAGGGGTACCAACCTATTCTTTGGCAGAGCCAGCCTTGCCCAAAGGAGTCCAGCTCCAAGGACGTTTACGGCAACCCGAGGAAGTTGGCTTCCTTCGGCAAACCCTCAATCCAACCAGCTTTATATATAATTATATATATGTGTACCTTCCTTTTTAGGCACATGGTTGGAAGCTTCTTCTTCACAGAAGCCTAGCAACGCAATATGGATGTCCTGACGCTCTTCAAATCTAGCAAAGAAGTGCAACATGGGGCTCGACATAAAACACATGACGCTCTAGCAAGAGCTTGTTTCTTCCATTGACACTTCCACAATGTCCCCAGGAGGTATTTGCTGTAGGACAAGCTACTGGTGTCTTGACCTTGATAAAAGAGTTCAAATAGGGCCTTACTGGTGCCCTGTGAAGCATTTGGAGTCTGCCACTATTTAATTTAGTGGTAAAGTCTTGTCAACACTTGAGGTGGAGACTTTCTCCATTAGTCAGCGCTAGGCGCGGTTTCAAAGGAAGCGCCTTGCCGGTTGGAAAAGTCATGCCATGTGAAACCATGTGACCATGGAATTGAATTGTTTTTTTTGTGCACAGCATGCGATACATGACGAGGGCATCCAAAACCACATTTGATGTCGGAGTGAACGGAGAGTCAGATTGGTAGTCAAATACAAGTGAGACTACGTGTATAGACGCTAATGCAGACTGACACGTTGTGGCATGCCACTGAGCAAGTGCATAGGTCAGGTCACGGATATAGACTTATAGAGGTTTTGACACATTCTCAGACTAGATGCATGTAGCGTTGCAGCCATGTGTCTTGCAGCACTCCTTCTGATGGCTTTTGCAAGGACCTGGTGAGAAGAAGATCCAGGTGATGGTTTTGCTTATGTCCTTGGCCCTTTCAGAAAGAGCTGAAATAAAGCTCCTTTCACAGGGCTTATGCTACTTTTGGTGGCCCGCTGAACTGGGTTTTCTTGTTCCTGGCAGCATCACTGCAATGAGAGTAATCAGGGCTGCGCATCAACCTCCCCAGTCACTCAAGAATTGTAGGCCTTCCAAGCGAGTGCACTTAGTCCCGAACAAAACTGGATAGCACGTGCTTGACTCTGAGCCGAGCAGCAACCACGCCATGCGTGGCCAAAGGATGAGTCTCCCTTTGCACGCACGCCCCGAAGTGGGCGCGAGCTCCGTGTTGCTGGGTCTATCTACAAGCGCAAGCAGCACCAATAGGTTGCCAAAGTTTGCACGCAGGTGGTTTCTATGCTTTGGCGCAAGCTACCAAAAGCAAAGACATATTCACACTACACACGCAATGTTGAGGCAGTTGCAAAGGATTAAACATGATAGCTGCAATTGGACATGATATGACATAATTAGACTAACATCAACATCTAATGGCACCGGCTGAATGAAAGCTTTTGGTTGCGTGTGCTTCTCAAGTTGATCAAGATTGTTTTATCGACGCGTATGGTGTGGGTCTTCGCTTCGGGTTGGTCGTTATAGCCCTTATGCAGACTTTTGCAGTGCACCCTGTTTTGCCTGGTCGCTCTACAAAGTATCCTTGACACCATGCCTTTGCCGTTGAGTCGTGCAATTTTTCTCAACCGTGTTGCGTGCAACCTGGAGAAAATAGCTGTGCACACGGTCCCGCTAGACGTTTGCTTTGTTCAGTGCTTCATTCTATGGACAGAAATGCCACCCCTCAGGCAGGCATCATGAATGATACCAGAAATGCTTGAGTTTGCATGGTATTGATAGTGTTGCAGCCCTGAGCTTAACCGTATTCATGAGCATCTCACTTAGAAGTCACAAACCTCAAATCTGTAGATCCTTCTACAAGTTGCTTCTAGGTGGACACGAGGAGATCGACCCAGCTGATACTCACTAAAGTACTCACATGATCCCTTTCCCCTTCTATGATAACTAAAGTTGTGATCCATTCCTTCTGTTTGATCTACAGATTCTGCGGCAAGTGAGGTTTGCGTTGTTTCAACCAACATTCTTGGCGTTTTCGTAAGAAATCAGGTTGTACACTTCGCAATGATGCCTCCTTCCCAATCGTTTTGCTTACCACCTTTTTGGAGCTGATGGCCTTTCAAACTCATCAGCTATGGCCCTGGCTTATCGGTCTCCCTGGCGGCCGGTATGCAACCTGTCTCAGAAGTCGAAGTCGAGAGCTGCGACATCCGCGATTGCGAATTGGGTGGCTGACTCTCAACCAGTCTCACAGGAGAACTGCCAGTCTCACTGAATGGCTTTCGATATTTGTCGCCACATGTCACCGTTTCGGATCCCCAACCATGTCCAACCTAAATGCTTGACACCACCCACGGAGGCTTCAGTCAATGGTGTTTTGTTGACGTATTTGCTTTGTTGCGCATGGTCGGTAGCATTTTTCTCAAGAAAGGCTTGGGAATCCGACAGAGTTGGAAATAAGCTAGGTATAGTTAGGCATGTTGAGTTACACGATGTTACACGCGTTGCAGCGACAAGCAGAAAGGCAGCATCGCAGTTGGCCACTGATATCATGTGTACCTGACAGTCTAGAGCACAGACACTGGTTCCTTTACGAATGGTGTATTTGTCATTGTTTGTATATTATAGAATCCAATCTGTCGTTTGCTTTTACTGGGGGACAAGGACAAATTTATTTTTGTATTAGACCAGAGCAAAAATAAAAAATCCTACACACAAAAGGCCTCCGCCTCCACCTTCACACATCAAGTGTGCGGCATGCGGCTCACTATTGTCAGTGA